CCCCCTATTATTCTTTTTCCCACAATAAGCCTCGGTATGGCCCTTTTTACCACAAAAATTGCAAGTAATGATCTGTTTAACACTAGATTTACGGATGTTTTGTTCAATATTTTTTAATGACTTACAAACATTGTTTAAATGAAGGATTGAATAGAGGATAGTAATTAATATTTAAATATTTTTTATTACGTAACTAAAAAAACAAAATATATTTTTAAAAATATAATATTTAAGTTTTATATATTTGTATCAAAAAAATTTGAAATGAGTCAAATTGGCTCAGTTCGTAAATCTAGTGTTAATCAATCTTACCTTCGGAGTACTATCCCTTGCGATCGACGAGCTTACCCTGGTTGCATCAGCCCGTACCTGCCTATCCACTTTTACCAGACAAACCAATGCCGAACTGAAATCATGATACTTTTTAAAACGTAAGGATGTGCGGTATTCAGGAGAAAGGCCCCTAATAAAGGCGTCCAAGCCTTCCTCCTCTATCTTTCGTTCCACGGAACGCTCTAATTTCCCNAATTTCGTGCCGCGTACGATAATTTTGCGCCCCTATGTCCATCAAACGAACTAAAGTCTCTGGGATCACTGGGTATCGTCATCTCGTTCGCGGTGTTTACTAGATAGTGCCGTTATCTATCGCGACATTGTTCTCTCATTGGCACTACTTATTATCAGTGATTCTCAGTGCGACCTCAATTAAACAGTGACTATCACTACAGCCTTCTCATTTAATCATCACAATGGTGCTTGTGCGGGACGAAGAGAAAAAGGCCAAGACCACCAGCAGTGGTGATGATCAAGCAATCCCTCAGACAGCTCAACCGACCAGCCTGGCGGTACCCTCGACGTCCACTCATGGCCAAGGCACCCGGTCCAGGAGCCAATCGCCTGTGGCACTCAGTACAGAATTCACGTTACGTGTGCAGGCTCAAAGGGAAATCCTTGTGTCGATAGAGGATATACTCAGTCAGGTTAGTGACCAATCCGAATCGATCATCCTGACAGAGGTGAACATGTTGCTCGAGCAGCTAGAGGAGCTGCATAGGTCATTCCGCCAAGAGCACGCTCAACTGGTATGTAATTGGCCTCCCAACCAAATGAGCCATCCATACCTCACGGAAACGGTCAACATCAGTGAAACGAAATTGATGATAAAGACAAAACGATTGCTTGGTCGGCTCAAGGAAAAGCTCACTCAGAAAACTCAGCCCACTCCTTCACCCGAAGATGGTGCTCGTGCCCGCTCCCGGCTTCCTGAATTAACAGTGCCAACATTCAGTGGAGATTGCTGGAAATGGCCTAATTTCAAGGCCATGTTCAGCTCAGTGATAGCAGAGCGCTCGGATCTCAGTGATCTGGAGAAATTCCAGTATCTAAAGTCAGCGATGCAAGGTGAGGCCTATGAAATTGTTGCCAACATCACTCCTGACAATTCATCATTCGACTCGGCTTGGACCTTGCTCACATCAAGGTTTGAGAATAAACGTCTCATAATAAAATCACACCTAGAAAGGCTGCTCAACCTCAAACCAATGCAAAGGCGCCAAGCCACCTCACTGATCAAAATGGTCAACATCATTAATGAGACCACTCAGGCACTCAGAACACTCACAGTGGAGAGCAATAATGATTGCCTCATGGTCACTCTTCTCACTGGACTGCTCGATCAAGACACTCGCGAGAGGTGGGAGACATCTCTTGCATCTACAGATGAATTTCCGACACTCAGTCAGCTCACCGAATTTCTGGTCGCTCGTGCCCGCACATTGGAGACCATAGAATCCTCATCTACGCCTGCTCAACCCAATGTGCCGAAAGGGGCTAAGACTACTCGGACAAGCTCACATCAGGCCTCTCAACAGCCCCCAGCTAGCTCATCAAGGTCGGTTATTCATCAGACTTCTCGTCCAGCTCAGTCACGAACTACATATCCGTGTGACTGTTGTGGGCAGGACCACTACATCGCAATCTGCCCAAAGATGCGAAGCTATTCGGTCAACCAACGGGTAAGGTTGATCAGGGACAGAAGTCTGTGTTGCAATTGCCTAGGCAGGCATAATTTAAGGAGGTGCAATAGCCGAATGCATTGCAAATCATGCAACGACTATCATCATACCCGGTTGCATGGTGCAGACCTCTCAGTCATTTTCGAACCATCAGGAGATGACCATCAGACCGCTCAGGAGGTGTCAAACACACCCGCTCCGTCAACCAAGTCCTCTCAAGCATGAAGCTCAGGGCAGCTCTTTGAGAGTTGCGATCATCTCACGTCTAACTCAGCCCAKCTCAGTCATCTCACATTGCTGGCCACAGCAACAGCAATAGTCGTCTCAGCAGCTTCATCAACTCAAGTTCGTCTGCTCATCGACCCTGGATCAGAAATCTCATTCATCTCAGAAAAGCTCACCCAGCAGCTCAAGTTACAACGAAGGCACTCAAGGCTGGACGTTTATGGTGTCGGTGGAACACGGACTTCTCAAACAAGAGGAATTGTCACGCTCAACCTTCAATCAAGGTATAGACCACTCACAGTGACAATTTCAGCTCACGTGTTAAAGACAGTTACCACCATCCTGCCGGCCATAAAGACTCAACAGGAACCCGAATGGCCACACCTGAAGGGTTTAMCTCTMGCTRATCCAGAATTTCTCGTTCCAAGGGCAGTAGATGTCATAATCGGAGCAGACTTCTACGGCCAACTCATCAGACCTAATATCATTAGGTACTCAGAAAGAACTCCCATTGCTCAATTATCAATCTTTGGGTGGTTGGTCATAGGCCCAATTCAGGCACCGGTCACGCTTGCAAGGACAACTCATCATGGCAGCTCCCAGGTATCAAACTCATCCTTGCGAGAGTTGTTAACACGGTTCTGGGTCCAAGAAGAACCTCCATCATCGGACAACTCATCGCTCACTCCTGAGGAGCAGGAGTGTGAGCTCCACTTCAAGACCACTCACTCAAGGGACTCAACAGGGCGTTACATCGTCAGGATGCCGCTCAAATCGCCCCCAATAGTCCTGGGAGATTCTTATCAGACAGCTCATCGATCGCTCCAACGAATTCTCAGGCGACTTGGCAGAGACCATCAGTACGACCGATTGTACACTCAGTTCATGCGAGAGTATGAACAATCTCAGCACATGCTCAAGCTCGATGACAGCTCAGTTGGTAGAAGGCCACACTACTATCTGCCTCATCATGGGGTGCTCAAACCAGACAGCTCCACCACGAAGCTCAGGGTTGTTTTCAACGGTTCAAGTGCCAGCTCCACTGGTCACTCGCTCAACGACATCATGCACGCTGGTCCTAATCTGATGCTCAACATCTTCGACTTGCTCATTTGRATACGTCAACTCAAGTATCTCTTTGCGACTGACATCACCAAGATGTACCGGCAAATCAAGATACATCCAGATGACCAGGATCTGCAACGCATCGTGTGGGTGAATGAACAGCAGGTGGAATCTCATTTTCAGCTCACTACAGTCACGTATGGAACCAAATCAGCACTGTTCCTGGCTGTACGAACGCTCCTTCAGCTTGCTGAAGATGAAGGCTCTCAGTATTCTCTTGCTGTCAAACCGATCACTCATGGGCGTTATGTTGACGACATCTTCGGAGGATCCGACACAGTGGAACAGCTCGTTGAGACTGCTCAACAACTCATACGGCTCTGCCATGCGGGCGGATTCCCGCTGGCTAAGTGGCACTCTACTTCTCAGCAACTGTTGAGAGAGGTCTCGTCTGAGCTTGGCGAGACCTCAGGCATCTCATTCAACGACTGCGATACCAAAATCCTTGGTATTTGATGGTCACCTCAACAGGACAGGTTCGACTTCTCAACAATCTCGGCTTCTCCCTCCAAACGATACTCGAAACGTCTTGTCCTCTCAGAAGTAGCACAAATTTTTGATCCATTAGGCTTCGCATCTCCAGTCATAATTAAGGCTAAGATCTTTCTTCAGGCTCTCTGGATGCATAATCTCGACTAGGACGAACCACTCTCGGAACAGCTCATCTCACAATGGTTCAGCTTCAGACAAGATCTCATTAGTCTGGCCAGACTCTCCATCCCACGCTGGTTCAACACGCTCTCTAATTCAGCTGTTGAACTGCATGGCTTCTCTGATGCATCGCAATTCGCAATGGCAGCCGTTGTGTATCTCGTTGTTAACTCGTCGTCCACTGGCGCCAAGGTCTCTCTTATTTGTTCAAGGACGAAGGTCTCACCGCTCAAGCGGCTAACCATCCCGAAGTTAGAACTCTCAGCAGCGCTGCTACTCTCCACGCTCATGAACCATGTTTGCGCTACTCTAAACATGATCATAAATAAGACAACCTTGTGGACGGACTCTCAGGTAACTCTCACATGGATCAAAGCTCATCCATCAAGATGGAAAGATTACGTACGCAACCGCGTGATCAAAATTCAGGAACTCTCAAGGAACGCTCATTGGAGGTATGTGCCTGGCACATCAAACCCAGCTGACTGTGCATCGCGTGGGATAACCACAGATCAGYTGGAAAAGCACTCTCTATGGTGGACGGGACCACCATGGCTCACTCAATCAGTGGCATCATGGCCAGCTCAGATCGATACAGCTCCTGATGACTCATGTGCACAAGAAGCTCGTGCTCGTGTCGCACATCACGCGGTACGATCTTCTCCGAGTTATCATTGGGATCTCATTCATCGATTCTCAACGCTCAATAGGTTGCTCCGAGTTACACCTCTCTGCAGTAGATTTATCAAGAGGCTCTCAGGAGAGCTTGACTCGACACCAGCAACCTGTATCTTAGTCCAAGGAATGGAAGACTCACGACTCTTTTGGGTCAAGGCTACTCAATCGGCGTACTATTCAGAAGAAATCTCAGTGCTCTCATGACAATCTCAACTGCTAAGCTCGCACCTACTCTCTAGGCTCACCGCATTCATTGATGCCGGCGGTGTGCTCAGGGTGGGCGGTCGCCTTTCATGGTCCGAACTCATGTACGAGGCCAAACATCTAGCGATTCTCCCTCGTAACTCCAGGCTCTCAGAACTCGTCATCGCCCATGCTCATAAGAAAACAATGCATGGAGGCACTCAGTCGACTCTGGCACTCATCAGACAACTCTACTGGATCATCGGAGCAAGAGCCCCAGTGAAGTCATATGTTCTCAGGTGTGTGGTGTGTGCTCGTTACAGGGGGATCCGTGCTCAGCACTGATGGGCCAACTACCTCTGGCGCGAGTCACTCCATCACGCCCGTTTTCTCACACAGGCATTGACTACGCTGGACCGCTCACGCTCAAGACTTGGAAGGGACGTGGCTCCAAGACTCATAAGGGTTGGATCTGTGTATTTGTCTGTCTATCAACTTCGGCCGCTCATCTCGATGTCRTTTCAGACTACTCAGCCGAGGGCTTCATTGCAACGTACAGACGCTTCACCTCAAGGCGGGGTGTCCCGTCAGACCTCTACGCTGATTGTGGCACCAACTTCTTGGGCGCTGAAGTTAAGCTCATGCAATGTTTCTCAGAAAGCTCTTCAGGACGTCGGGAGATCTCTTCTGTGCTAGCTCAGGACAAAACACAGTGGCATTTTAACCCGCCTGCAGCCCCCCACATGGGTGGGAAATGGGAAGCAGTAGTCAAGTCTCTGAAGTATCATCTTAGAAGATCTGTCGGAGACACACTTCTCACGTATGAGGAGACTTCCACACTCCGCGCTCAAATTGAAGCCATTCTCAATTCCAGACCACTCGAACCGCTCAGCGATGATCCAGAAGACACCTCAGTGCTCACACCAGGGCACTTTCTCATTGGAACGGCACTCAACGCTGTTCCTGAAGGCTCACTATTAGACATCTCAGCAAGTCGGCTCTCCAGATGGCAGTTCATCCAGCAACGAGTTCAACATTTCTGGCGCATGTGGTCAACTCAGTATTTGCAACAATTACAAGCCATCTCAAAGTGGTATCACGCTCACAACCAGATTCAGGTAGGTTCACTCGTTCTCCTTACTGATGAGCGTTTGCCTCCAGGAAAATGGCCCATGGCTAGGGTGCTCAAGTCTGCCAGGGGAGGATGGACTCACCAGGATGGTATCACTGAAGACGGCTACCACAACACTCACCAGGCCGATCACCAAGCTCGCAGTCCTCCCAGTAGCCCCTCAGAAGACAGCATAACTCATCATCAACTTCGTTGCTGATGGCGGGCGGAAATGTTTGGGATTTAACCTGCCCAATGAAACCTCGCGACAGTTGTCGCTCTTTGCGGACTCACCATAACTCATCACGGCGGTTGAAGAATCATCTTGACGCCGGCTTGTCAGTCAGTCATCTCTTTGCTATCACATATACAACACGTGTCTTCTCATTATATTCTTAAATGTCATCTATTAGTACTCTCGATCTCATTCAAACCACACGTGTCTTCTCATTTCAAGAAAAAGTCTTCTCATTAATTACAAGTTCGGTGTGATTAATACAATCATCATCGTTCGGCTCTTGACTGATTAATATAATCAGGCCGGCTCTAGTCTTCTCATTGTAAGAACTTCAGTTTAAAGATACTGTACGATCCGAAAGGATCGTACGGTAATTAGCAGTATTCAAAATTCGCGCGCATCCACCTCCATCGATTAAAGGTCTAGATCGATACTCATTGTGAGCATCGATCAACTACTAGTAACTACCGAAGCGCCCCTCTAGTCACCCCCACCTCTCGCCTTCCCATTTCTCACCCCCAGTCCGTACGCCCTGCTGGGACAGTACAAAAGGACATTCTAACAGTCCATTATAGGAAGCCTGTGAATACATATCGAAATCAAAGGAGTTAAGCTAAATTAGTTAAGGAACGTAAGCGAAGCGAGCAAAAGGTGAGATCTTTCCATTATATACATTTTATATTGACGGTATTTTCCCGCGTGGTAATACCACGTGGTGGACTCTCATTTTTATAATTAAACATCATCCAGGGTTTTTATGCCGCAAGGCTTTTCCCTGACGAGCCAATAAAAAAAGGCATTGTTTCTTTGTTTGGCTCAATCACGTGTTTCATTTTACACCTTAACCTAATCCTTTATTCTCCACTTCATAGCATACAATTAATGATCAGAGGAATTTTCATTGAAGAATCTTTTGGTCATAACAGATACGACACGTGATTTGCTCAACGGCTCTCATTTGAATCTCTTAACCGACACGCGGTGTACGCTTACTTTTAAATAAATCTGACCACTCAAAGCAAATGCTAGGAGTTCTTGTCTTTAAGCCTGCTCATTTCCTCAACACAGTAATACAACTTATTTCGAAAATATGGAAAAAAAATTTTGTTTATATTAAAAAAATTAAAAAAATTAATAAAATAATTTATAAAATAAAACGACAACACTTGTTTCCTTCTTTTTCAAGCATCTAAAGCTATTATTTACAACAACTAAAAATACTTATATGTGATAACTCATGATAAAGATATCTCCAATTCAAAGAAAGAATATCGTCTACCTAAGTTTCAAAAAAGGATATACTATATTTATTTAGGTTTGGTCGATGTATTTTCCATTGACAAACATTCTACAATTTTTTTTTGTTTCGATTTATAGCTAGCGCACTCGATATTCAATCTTTATGGATAGAATTTGGAAAATGTTACTTTTTGTTAGTTACCTACACCCCAAGATCGGTTTCTTTTCATGAGAACAGAATTACAAAAAACAGAGAAGGTCCGTTGAAATTTGATCTATATTTATAATCGTTATTATCGATGCGATAATATTCATGTCTATAGTTTTGTAAAGAATATGGACGTTTTGTCAGAACACTGTCAAAAAACAGAAAAAGCGACAAAGAGTTGAAGATATCAGACAATGAAGGCTAAGTACCACTATCATTTCCAGTTATCATAAATAAGACTTCGTCGTTGCATTTGTATACAGGCGAAGTCAAAGTAAGGTAAGTCACGTGTCCAATTTTTGCTTGGTCGACATAACATTTTCTAATATATAAACTAAAGTTTTTTAGGAAACGTAGCTTCTCTTTGGCGAACATATAAAATTTTATTCTACTATCAATTTGGCTCAATCATATATTTTACTTCTTCTTTTGTTTCATCACATTTTCTCCACCATAGCTTATCTCTAAAGCCAAAAGACTTTATTTTTTTTTATATATTTGTTTAATAATACAAAGTATGCCGCAAACTAGAACCAAAAAGTGTGAAAATATGCAGAAAAATCAAATTAGGAAAGTTCTAAAGAGTTTAACAGAACGCGTTCGAGCATTTCGTGCACGCCGAAAGGCGTTATTAAATGTGCAAAATAATATTTCTAATGCGGATAATGTTGCGAGCACTGTTCAAAATATTGAAAACGATCATCGTAAGTCATTACAAAGCTACAAAGAAGTATATTTCTTTTTTATTCTTTTCTACTCATACAGGACATGCATAATCTAAATAGATCACATTTAATACATTTTTTCAAATTTTTTTTTCTATTAAGATCATTCGCAATTGGATATTGTGAGTTGCGATTCCAGTGTTTCCCAACCGAGAACTAGCGCTGGACAATTTTGTGAAAATAAGCAGAAAAACAAATTAGGAAAGTTCCAAAGAGTTCAATGGAACGCGTTCGAGCATTTCGTGCACGCCGAAAGGTGTTATTGAATTTGCAGACTAATATTTCTAATGCGCGTAATAATGCGTGCAGTGTTCTAAATAGTGATAACAATCATGGTAAGTACTTAAATATTTTTTCATCAATATATATCTTCTTTAATTTTTATTGCTCACAGATCACATACTTAATCGCCATACGTCATATTTAAAGCACTAATTTTTATTTTCTAGATAGGTGATTCTTTAGTTAATATAATGATTTTATTTTGTAGGTGTTTCTCAAGTTGATAGAAGTCCTGATATTCCGTACTCACAATTTCTAAGAAATAAAGTTGCCCATGATGATTTTCGCAAAAAATTTTTTAACAATATGTTCGGTTATGCACGTTTTGTTTGCGATCGATTATGGTTTTACAATGATTTAAAACCTCCACGGGCAGAACATGAAGAACTCTTACGTATAATAATTGATAATTTCAATTCAATTAATGAGATATTACTTTGCACCACGTGTCACCAATCAATCGAGAAGAAAGTTATTCCAACATTGTCCACATACAACGGTTTCAAATACCAATGTATACCTGCGTCTTTGCCACCACTTGTTTGGCAATTTCCGAAAGACTTGTCTCTCCGCGAATTCCATTTATGCAAATTAGACGGTTGAGACACTTCCACGGCCAATACGGAATTTATGGTCAAATTATTAATGTACCAGTCGAAGTGGACAATATGGTGAAACATTTACCTCGCAATATTGATGATGACCATTGCATTAACGTTCATATCAAGAAAAAAAAATTCATAAATCAAGCTACTAAGTGAGAATGGTTAATAAAAAAACGATTCGTGCATGGCTTCAGTACTTGATTCGAACTCCACTTTATGAATTCTACGATATTAAAGTAGATGACAGCTTTTTCAACTATGATCATAATATTAATGAAATTCATCGAGAAGACGTAAGTGAAGATATACCGATCGAAGAAAGTCTAACGGCACAACAACAGACTCTAATGTGGAATGATGACGAATATTTACGGATTGCACCTGGACAGTATAATCTTCCACAAAGTATTATTTTTGATGAACATGCTGAAGAACTTTCTTTCCCATCGATTTATTTAGGCTATTTCCGAACTTTCAGAGACGGAATAAATGCAACACCATTCACAGTAGCGACTAGTGAATTACGGAGATCAGACCGGCGTGGAGTTACTCCGTATCATTTATTATACGTTGCTATGAAAATAATGAGAATAAGAATTCGTGACTCATTTACTATTGCATTCAAGCATGTGGGAAAAAATACTAATATTACACGGCAGCAGATTGAATCAGACGAGTATATTAATAATTGCATCGAAAATAATTTAGCTTTCCTACGATCAATACCTAATTCAGTTTGGTATTGGAACGAACGAAAAAGAGATCTTTTTGCGATGATTCGACAATTGGGAAAACCTACTATGTTTCTTACTTTAAGTGCAAATGATATCGAATGGAATAATTTACTACAATTACTGTACAAATTAAAAAATAAGGGAGCTGAAATTTCCACAGAAGCAGCTGCGTCACTAGATTATATATCTAAGACTACCTTTGTCTATGAAGATGCTATGACTTGTGCTTTATATTTTAATAAAATAGTCAATGTATTATTGATTATTCTCCAATCAAAAAAGAAAAGTCCATTTGAAAATTATCATGTTGTCAATTATTTTAAACGAATTGAATTCCAACATCGTGGTAGTCCTCATGCACACATTTTATTATGGCTGAATGATGCTCCAGTAGATGCTCTTGGTGCAGACAAACAAAATGCTATAATGATGATCGATCAATTGATATCTGTTTCTTCAACAGAGGCTTCTGGATATATTCGTTTGCAAACTCATAAACATACATTTACTTGCTACAAAAAANTTTTGATCAATTTTTTTTATCCAATAATTTAATTATATTTATTTTTTTTTTATGTAAGAAATCAGAGTTCGTTTGATTGATAATTTYTTATATCTCTGATTTGGTATCTGAATACAAAAAATACCGTACCATTATTTAGTTYCTCCTTTTGTGAACTGTGTTTTTCTTTAGGGGAAGTAGAGAATTKATTTTGATTCATTTGCAAAGGCGATACACTATGTAAATTTTCAGCAATTGCAGCRACGCTAGTTAATATTTTTTGCTTCACTTCGCTAGTGCTTTTATTTCTTTCGTCGTCCGTACTCTTCACGTCCATAGTTGTAAATGCACGATTTAAGCGTCTTTGTCCTTGTTTAAAATTATCTATTTTAACATAGATTAAGAGTCTCATGATATACTTATTATAGTTGATATTAAGTTGATCATCGGCCGATTAATAGTAGTTGATCATCGGCCGATTAATGGTAGTTGATCATCGGCCGATTAATGGTAGTTGATCATCGGCCGATTAATGGTAGTTGATCATCGGCCGATTAATGGTAGTTGTTCATCGGCCGATTAATGGTAGTTGATTATTGGCCGATTAATGGGCCCAGCAATGGGCCACGTATTATTCAAATTATTACCCCATTAACATCATCATAATTTAAAAATCTATATATCATC